TAGGTTATTATCACAAGTGATTTTGTGGAGATTTCAGTAATTTTATAGTTGAATTCATGAGTAAATTGAACCGTTGGATGCCGGTCAGATCAGTAGTCTAGAAGTTAAGCGTTCACGTGTTAGACTGATAGGTTCTGGGTTCGAATCTCACGGGGCGGGATCGTATATGTGCACTGCTGAGGAGTCTCATACTAGGATGAAACGGCTGTCAATTGATTTCAGGTTTTCCTTGGTGGTCTAGCTTCAACTGACTCATGGATTCAACTTTAAAATGTGGAGGTTAATTAATTGATACTTAAAAATTAATATGCTATATTTAATCTATATTTAATCATTGAATTTTTCAGTGTTCATTTGTTGCTCAAAACTATGCTGGTATATTAATAAATTTATTTGAAAATTCAACTGTTCCTATGATCTGTCAGGTAGTTGAGTTGGCGCTATTTTTTCATACTGTCTTTCAAAACAATATATATGTCACTTGTTTGTTCAATAACATATGAAAGTTTTAAAGCAATTAATGTGATATAATATAAACATTAGAAGGGGTCTTCTGATTATTATAATAATTTTAATAGTTTAGATCATTAGTCATTTGAAGCTAGACCACTATGGAAAACCTGGAAGCACTAGGAGACCGTTTCGTCTTACTTTGGGACTCCTCAGCGGCGCGTGTCCACGATCCTGCCTCAAGAGATTCAAACCCAGGACCTATCAGTCTCACGCACGAGCGTCGTCCAGTGCTTCCAGGTTTTGCATGGTAGTCTAGATTAAATTGACTAATGATCTCAACTACTAAAATAAAATAAACACTTTATAAAAAGACCACCATGGGAAACCTGGAAGTACTGGACAGTCGTTTTGTCTTATTATGGCACTCCTCAGAAGTATACACTCACGATCTCACCTCACAATCTCAATTATTAAAATTAATATGATATCCACAAAACCCTTTTGATATCATATATACGTTAGATCAGTCCATTTCAATAGTCTATGAAATTAATCAATCAAAAACAAAGTCATCAAGATAAAGTAATTTAGTGTATGTGATGTAATTGGAATGCTCGCTTGTATATGAAGTTAACACTAGTAACATTATCTATAATGGTAAAAGAGGCTTTATAATTAAAACAACTAACTTAGATAACTCATTTACATTTAGCATTAATATCGAGTTGATGAGTTTCAAAATAAGATTAAATATTTCATCCTCAATTAGAATTTTAGCCATAACCCAAGGATATAATAAGACTTTTAGCAACAGAGAATACTGATGGATTGATTGATGATATAAATATGCCAACACAGACTCGTCGAAATTCAGTTTTAAGAATTGACAACAGAAAAACATCAACCCTTACAAATGTTATATATATAAATCACTGAAAATTAGATCTCATGACTGAGGTGCTTTCTTTTTTGTTGTTGTATTTTTTTATCTTTAAATCCCATTGGATAAATATTCATTACACCATTATCTCTATAACAAACCTATGACAATCCCCCCTTCCCGTCAAACAAGTTGGTGAAGCCTAGTAAGCCTTTCTGGAAAGAAACAGACCATATCAAAGCACAGCACAACTACCGCGGATAGAATAGCTGTTTTTGCAACCGATTTGAGTTTATCCCATAAGGAGCAACTACGTGCATTACATGCACCACTTTTGTCAATATTTTGTCGTTTTTCCATCCAAGAGTAATTGTGCTGTGATTCTTTCTGGATTTCGTAATCGGTTTGAGGGTAGCGGTCGAGTGAGTGATTAGCCTTATCTCTACTACCCGGGTTACCGTCCACGTTAGTTCATGAGTCATCCATCCCACTATCCAGGAGGCACAACTCGGACGTGTGAGTCGGGTTTTGCCTCCCTATGACAATATTATAATAATATTTCATTTATCACTGAACTGAAGTTTATTTCTAACAGGAGTGAAAATTTATTATATAACTTTCTTTCCAGAGATTGATGATATGTTAAAGAATACTTGAGAAGTTGAAATATTGAGGAGGTGAAGAAGAACTCTATTTTACTTCATTATATTTTTGTCAATAAATAAACTATTGTGAAAGTACCCCTTATTTTATGAAGTACAAAATGTTTTGCTTCTATAAGATTAAATGGTGAGACTATAATTTAAGGTTGACCTTTGAGCGACGCCAGACGTACCTTGAAAGTGTCCAACTAATAACCAGGACCAAATGAGGGTTATAAACCAGTGTGAGGTATTGTAATTTTAATTTACAGTTGATGATTAAGGTTAGAAACTAGATTTAGGGTTTTCATCACGAACCGACATAAGCTATAATGCCAAAATTCTATTTAGTCAAGTAGATGGGTGAATTTCGCATTGAAATCCAAGGCCTGTTACCTTATGCATGATTGGTTCGTCCATAAATTATAGTCTCGCCATTAAATGAAATAATAAGTTAACGTTGGACTATCTTGTCCTTTAACTATGTTCTAACATAATTAATTTGAACTGACAACTGTTACAGAGCTGTAAATGGTTGACTTCAACTTGTAGAGGCTGGTACTATGTTATGCCTATATAGCTTATTTTAGCTTCCGGACAGATTAGTTTATTCACTTTTCACATTTTGATCTTGTTAATTATTCGATTATCAACCTTGATTGTTATATAACATTGAGGTATGATCTGATGTGAAAAAATTGACATTGATGGAGGAAAGAATTAGAATGATTAGTGTTATCTAGAATCGGTTGATCACTGGGCGGTGATCAATGTCATGTATATCAGGTTCTTCTCAGTGTAGATCGAATCCTATCGACCAAGTTACAATATAGCCACCAATCTAGGTGATTCGACATTGCGTGCACTATGTTGAGATAAGATGGTGGTTGGAGGTAGTCAATATGAAACCATGGACGTAGGTTTTGTGCTACTTGGCACTGGTCAGCAAGGTGAACCTGTAATTTTGAGGGATTTGATGCTCCTTGTCGATTCGCATAGGTTTGTTTAGTTTAGATGTTTTACTGAGGTTTCTATAAAAACCGCCAATCTATAAGGAATAGAAATGGTACAGTTGACACGTTTGTCTATGATAAGTAGGCTATAAAACAGACAAAAGAAATCGTAAGCTAACCAGTTTTAATAAACTATGATTAGCCTAACATAGTTCATGAATGAATATGTACAGAAGCGAGTCTGAAGTTGCATTAGTTCTTGCAAAAATATATGTTACTCAGACAACTGTTTCTACGTAGTTTATTTCCACTCTGTAACCTATTAAGACAAGGATCTGATACAATTAATTATCTGGTGTATGCTACTTATGTCGACATAAGTAGTAAATAACACCAATCAGAAGTGGAATGTCTGGCGGCAGGTTAGGAAGGTTGAATCGACGAGAACGGGAACAGAGAGTAATTGTTACAGCAATTGAGGAACGATGAAGTCCGAGACAGTTGATGGAAGATTTGCAAAAGAAGTATTGAACGTATAGTCTTCACATTTGACGAAAGAACTCTGTAATTTTGTATTAAAATATATCGGCTGTCCTTACCTGAATTCTCGTTCATTACAATTGCTGTAACCGATTTTTTAATGTTCACTGGGATTCAAGACTGATGTATAGAATTTGTGTTAACATACGAATAATATTTCCAACCAAGGTATCGATGACATGACATTCAGCTTTTAAACGATTATTGATTCTGTCATTATTGTATGTACGCTTTGTTGATGAGTTGTTGATAGAAAACCTTTTTTGGGAAAATTGGTCTGTATAAATATTATGTTAATCTATCCATTAACAAATAAGTTAGGCTATTCTGTTGATTTACCAGAGTTTAATTTAATTTATTTATGGACTCTGTTCATAGATTTTCCTACTGTTTTTATAATTGATGCATTATACTTCATTTGAATCAAACTTCATTGATGTGAACATTTAAGATGCTGTCGTTCGATTGACTCTGAAACATGCTTTCATTTTGGATCGGACAGTTTGACTTCCTTTATGATTCGCACCATTAATTTCTTAGTTTGTTCTGTAAAAATACTAGATTACCGGTATTCATAATTGCAAACATAATTATCGTCCTTCGAGATGCAATGTGCATTGTTATTCGTTTGGGCAACTTAACTTATCAGGATTTCCACAATATAGCCTCTAGAACATCATTATCGTTTCTCAAACCTTTTGATGTCGAGAAGCAAACTTTCCCTATGGTGCCCGTTTCAACCAAACTTAGTTGGTGAAGGGGGTAGGTTCTTCTGGAGAAGAGGCATACATTAAACACGACACAACTACCGGGACATAATAGTTGTTCTCGGAGATGGTGTTATGCTTTTTGACCTTATTTCCTGTTCGGTGATCGTTGACCATCAGTGCACCACATATCAATTATTGATTGTCCCTTTTCGTGTTGAAGCTGTTTCACTTTGGACAAATTTATTGTTTAGTAAGGTTTTTAGTCTAGCTGTTTATTTATTGTTAATCGAATGTATTGGTTTTGGTCGTTTATTACATTGCTTATTTGGTGGTCAATACTTGGATTTCTTTTTATTTAGTTTTATTATGGAGGTTGGCATGTAGTCGTCTGAATTGACCCTAGGGACAGATTCATGTAGATGTTAAAGACTAGAATGTATGATTTCCTTTCTGTAACAGTTTTAACAGTTTTTGTGTTTGGAGAAACTCATGATCACCCAACACCAAAGTCTTTATTTCGGTTATTTTTCTCAGTATTATAGTCAGAATTGTTTGAAATATTTACTTTATATAAGTATTGCAGGTTTGACTGAGTTTATCCCCAGGCTATTTATTCAGTATTTCATCAAAGAATTTATACTTGTAAACAAATATATACTGGACGTTCTGCAATACATCATACTTGTACAGTTATGTATTATATACAAAAATGAAAAGAAGAATTTACGAATTAAATATTTATTTACTTATCCAAAGAAATGTCCCCGAATAGTTTAAACATAATGATGAATAATAACTGACGTGAAAAACGGTTAACTTAGTTTTAAAAATCGTCTGAAAACCATTCGCCTTTTGAATTCTAAAAGAAATGAAATCAAAAATCCGTTTTGCGTTTATGGTAAATTACTCAGTAAAGATTAAGTTAACAAATCGTTGCTACTGATTAAAATATAAGTAGCTTAAAATATTCATTGAAATTTAAGGGCTATCAATTTGACGAGTTACAAAACTAACTGTAAAATATGCTACCTTATTTTGTTTTAATTACTTTTCATGAAATAAATGAAGTTTAACTACAACATCTTGGTGTCCTGTGGTGTTTGCTACTGATTTCGACAGATGTGAGTAGAATGTATCATCAATCAAAAGTGAAATGTTTGACCGTAGAAGGTTAAGAAGACCAAAGAGAAGAAAAGCGAACGAGAACACAGAATGATTAGTGTGGAAATGAACAATGAAATCTGAGACGATTGATTGATATTTTGCAAATGAGGTATCTAGTGTATAGTTCTCAGAATTTACTAACACACTCTGTAATTTTATGTTCAAATACATTTGGTTGTCCCAACTTGTGTTCTCATTTACTACAGTCTTTTTTATGAGCTAAAACAGGAAAATTATAATACACTGACGTTTTTGAAGTGACCAGTCAGGATTGAGATAACTTCTTAGGTGATTTGCACGAAATGTAATATGTGGTGATTGATAACTTGTATATTATCATTAACTAGATGATAATAATTCATTCTTAAAATAGTCACAATCAATATAAATATCTATTATGCAATCAAAATGTGAATTTAAGATGTTACTTAAGCCAAGTTGCAAAACATACCTAGTCCTAAGGCAGATTGTATATTAAATTGCTTGATGCGATTCGATGCGTAGTCAAGAAGGTTAAGTGAATTTAGATAATACTCTCCATTTATAACACTTCCTCTAAATCTCAACCCTCAATTTCTAAGGGTGGTGAATAGAAGGATGGCAAAACATTGCATTGTAGCCAATATCAGTTCGTTTTGAAAACCCTTACCCTAATTTGTAATCTCAACTCAAAACTTTAGCTTAACACTTATTATCAAACATTAACTTTCTTAAATTATAACCGATATCATTTGGTGACAAAAACCTTATGGGATAATAACCCTAACTCAGAATACTATCCCAAATCACATTATGAAAACCTGACCATTGTTATTGAATACAAAATATAATTTGATATATGAGATTTAATTATTCCATTCAAAACTGTTATCGCATTATTATTTTATTGTTAAATGTTTTGTAATCATTTAGAGGTTTCTAATTGCCTGATATGTTGTATAACATAATATTTACCGTTCAAACTAAGTGATAGTTGAATTAAACTTCAGAATGTGATGTTATTAATCCAGCTCAGAAAATAAAACTCCATCAAAAATCATTCACCTGAGCTACAAATCCTTTCCACCATGTTATTAATCCTTTCTACGATTACTGTTAAAACTCATTATCAGTTAAGATGTAATTTTCTCTAGTCCTCAGTGCTAATCGAATACTTTTGATAGAGTAACTGTTTTCATATTAGATTAGGTACATCGACGTAAATCAATAGAATTTTATTATGTTACTAAGGATTAGACAAAATGATATTGATTACTATAGGGTGGGTGGTTTCCCCCAAATGCTCTGGTATAGCCAAGAGTGGGGAGAGGTAGCTCCCCCTCTCGAAATGCCCTCATATGGCCACGCGTATATAGCCTCTACCAGGGAAGTTCTACTCATTGCCTTCTCACAGTGGGGATGTTGTTTACGAAATTGTGAGTACGGAAAGCGAATGTCTGGCGCTATAACCACGTTGGTTGTGGATACGAAGAATCCACCTAAGGGAGTGGGAAAACCCTGATTCCAAACTAATGGTGAACATGAGCACCAGGATCCCAAGGAATTAAATGGAGTATGAACCTGTTGTTGGTCACCGGTTACCATGGGACTGGATCTCCTGACGTTACTGCACTGCTTTGTGGATTAGACTTTTAGGTCAAAGTGTTGGGGTGTGGCCCCACTAAGAAGACCACCCGCTTCGATTTAGGCACCCGAGTAGTATGACAGCCCTCACACAAATCAAATGAGATTTGTGTGGCGCATATCTATTTGGTAACCCCTTGTATCAATATCTAAGTGTTCAAATAAATAAATAATAATAAATAACGTGGGCGGTTAATAATGACAACCATTTTAGTTTCACATGAGATAAACTTTACGATCTTGATAATTTAAAGATGGTGTCTTTGATTGCCAGATTAAGTGGTTAGAATAAAATTTTATTTGAGGCATTAATCATGTTTAAGATTTCAGTTATATCTTCCTGATAAGTATAAATCGGTAAGAAACCTGCATTCAGTGGACCTTTTTCGATTGTGGCCAATCATGTAACAATACAGTTCGGTCTGAGTTAGTTACTCTATTAAATATATTTTATAAAGACAGATCTTTTCAGTTAACATCGTCTTAGCAAGGTTTCCTTTAAGAGTTGGAATTACCGACCCTCTCCCTATTACCAGGGATGGGAAGTGGCAGTGATCCTCAAAAGGCTTCGAGATTATTTTTTTACAAAGATAACCAAAGTTATAACTTGTAAAAGTTTACATGATTTTTTATACTTCTTTCGAATTATAAATTGGACCAGTATGTGTTTCCTAATTAAGCTAAGAACTGTCGGTTAATACTCAGAACTAAACCATATTTGACTACTATTTTTCCATTGAATCGTTATCTATAATACAAACGAAAAACAATATTTCACAGAGTTCAACTAGGATTAAGCTGTCGTCTATAACTAACTCTTTCGTTTGTTTAACATAAACTGATCCAGTGTTAGCCTGTTCTATTATCTAGGATCTAGGACCTTCAGACAATGGACAGAACTCCTAACACTTTAACCACTGACCTGCATTGAATGGTTCACATGTTTGGCTTCAATCACATTCTGCAATGAAACAACTATCCAATACTTCCTAGTTTTCAATGGTTGACCAATTAAGATCAGTCAGTGGTGTAAACTATGAGATCTTGTGTATACTTACCGTGGTCTAAATGTTGTGGAGACCGTGAAAACACTAAGAAACATTTTATCCAATCAGTATCGAGTTTTTTAAAAACATCTAGAAAGTGAAGAGTCGTGTGTTACATTTCTGACTGCATGATTACCTGTCCTGCTACTATGTTTACTAGGGTTCTAGAACCTTCCAGAAGCCCAAGGCTGTTTGAAATGCTACAAATACCCTCAATTTTCTGTGCCTAAACTAATCTTAGAGTAAAGGTTTCTTTCTACATTTCGCGCCTTTTCTTTCGTGTTTAAGTTGTCGTGTAGATTAAACCTATGGTTATAAGAAGAGCTTAGGAAACTGATTCAAGCGTTCACAAATGCGCAAATAACTGTTCAATGAATACAGCAATAGTTTGTCACTATTTTGTTAGTTAACAATAAAAAAAAGCATATTATAAACAAATAAAAACGTCAACTTATTGCTTCAATGTTCAATGCTCTTACTTTATAAATAACTTTGATGAGACCGACAGCAGATTTCTCGAAAGCTTTTATACACTAAATTGACAAAACATGAATGAAGAGATAAATTTATCAATTCAATGACCAAAGTTAGAAATATGAACTAACTGGTCTACAGTTAAAGTACATACAATTAGTTTGATGTCATGTATGGTGGTGGATAGACTCTACTAAAGTTTAAGATGACAGTAAAAATCATTTCAATTGTTCATGGTTTTCACTTACTTACTTACGCCTGTTACCCCTCGGGGAGGAGCATAGGCTGCTCAGGGTTTTCAGCAGCTCTTAAAATGTTATTAATTAAGATCATGAATCGATTGATGTTAGACCGACATTGTAAACCTGGAAGCACTGGATGATCGTTTCGTCCTAGTATGGGACTCCACAGCAGTGCGCGGGATTCGAACCCAGGATTTTCAGTCTTGTGCGCAAAAAATCTATCACCAATTTATGGTAAATACTTGAATATTAAATGCAGAGATTTCTGATGACTTGAATACGATCTTGATTGTAGTAAAAGTCAAATCAAGTAGTTGTTTTAAGTCAGATAACTGTGTATAGGAAGAGGAAGGTATTTTATAACTAAGGAAATTCATGATAATCTTTGTTATATAAATCCGCATCAATTAGTCCACGAAATTTAACTAGTTATATTTGAATATAAGATTCCATTACAAATTAACATGACCTAGGAGATTATCGGAAATTAGATAAGATTGGACAGCTGTTCGGTTTCAATTAGAAATTCTTCCACAATCTGTATCTATAATCCTGTACAGAACCAAACTCCATCATATTGCTTATGATACCTGCAAGTTAATAGGTTGGTAGTCAATAGTTCACACTTTAATGGGACATGATTCTCATCTATATTAGACTGACAAACAACTATAAAGTATATTAATTCATTTTTGGATTGGTTGTTTGAGTCTTCCCCTTGATGTTTAGGATTGCAATTGATCAGTTTCTTATTAGGCATATGTGGTTCCTGTACGGATTGCCTCAATATTACTACTAATTTACAAGTATTGTAAGCAGAGATGAATGATAGTTAGCAGTGGAATTCAGATTTTGAAGTTGTATGTTATTCATCACGACACGAACACCTGTTACTCCTCGTGAAGGAGCATAAGCCGCTCACCAGCATTCTCCATCCAACCCTGCACTGGGCAATCCTTTTCAGCTCTTTCCAGTTGTTATTCATCCTTTTCATATCTGCTTCTATTTCTCGACGTAATGTGTTCCTTGGTCTTCCTCTTTTCCGCTTCCCTTCAGGATTCCAAGTTAGGGCTTTTCTCGTGGTGCAATTTGACGATTTGCGTAATGTATGTCCTATCCATTTCCATCATCTTTTCCTAATTTCTTCTTCAGCTGGAAGCTGATTTGTTCTCTCCTACAAAAGGCTGTTGCTGATGGTATCCGGCCAATGGATGTTGAGTATCTTGCATAAACAGCTATTTATAAATACTTGTACTTTCTTGATGGTGGTTGTTGTAGTTCTCCAAGTTTCAGCTCCATACAGTAGAACTGCCTTGACGTTCGTATTGAAGATTCTCACTTTGATATTGGTTGAAAGTTGTTTTGAGTTCCATATGTTCTTCAATTGTAGGAATGCGACCCTTGCTTTGTCGATCCTCGCCTTTACGTCTGCATCTGAACCTCCTTGTTCATCGATGATGCTTCCCAGGTATGTGAAGGATTCTACATCTTACAGAGTTTCGCCATCAAGAGTGATTGGATTGCTGTTCTGCGTGTTGTATTTGAGGACCTTGGTTTTCCCTTTGTGTATGCTGAGGCCTACTGATGCAGAGACTGCTGCTAAACTGGCTGTCTTCATCTGCATCTGTTCGTGTGTACGTGATAGGAGGGCTAGGTCATCTGCGAAGTCCAAATCGTCTAATTGATTTTGAGCTGTCCATTGTATTCCGTGTTTTCCTTCAGATGTTGAGGTCCTCATAATCCAGTCGACCACCAAGAGGAAAAGGAAGGGAGAGAGTAAACAGCCTTGTCTGACTCCGGTCCTTACTTGGAATGCATCTGACAGGTGTCCTCTATGCACGACCTTGCACTGTAGTCTGTCGTATGAATCCCGGATAATGTTGACAATCTTCTCAGGAACTCAGTAGTGTCGAAGAAGTTTCCATAATATCCTCCTATCTACACTGTCAAATGCCTTTTCATAATCAATGAAGTTGATGTATAGTGACGAGTTCCACTCAACTGATTGTTCGACGATGATCCGTAGTGTTGCAATTTGGTCTGTGCACGACTGATCCCTACGGAATCTAGCTTGTTGATCTCGAAGTTATTTATTATTTTATTATTTATTTGAACACATAAATATTGGTACAAGAGAGCGCCAATATATATGCGCCACACAAAACAATGGGAATTCGAAGAGAAGTAGAAAGAGAAAAAAAAAACTAAGGAACGCAAAAGAAAAAGAGAGTAATGACGAAGAGGTACAATCAGAAGAAATCTTTCAGGTAAGGGAGACACAACCACTTTTTATGAAGAAAGTAAAAGAAGGTTACAGCAGGATCGCCACTGGCTTCTATTCTGAGCCATATCTGATAACGTCTCTAGCCACTGTGTAGCACCATCTCTCGGACCCCAACCAGGGAGTCGTGAAGGACCAACACAAGCCAGTCCTTTGCAGCTTTCTTTCATGCCACGACACCATGTCATGCACTGACCACCTCTCCGCTTCTTCCAACCAGTCCCAGAGTCGGCAAATAATGCACGACGTGGAATTCTCTGGGACGACATTCGGAGAACATGTCCAAGCCACCGAAGTCGGTGTTTCAAGATGGTGACACCAATTGAGTTATCATCTCTGTGCCCGAACACACGATGCCGAACCTCTGCATTACTGACATGGTGTTGCCACTGAATGTCAGCAATCCTTCGGAGACAGCGATGATCGAACACAGAGAGTCGTCTAACGTCCTCAACTCGGAGAGGCCAGGTTTCACAAGCATAGAGCAAAACTGCTCTCACCGACGCGTTGTAGATCCGACCTTTTACAGCCAGACTAACATCACGAAGGCGCCAAAGGTGGCCCAGATTGGCATAAGCCGCTCTGGCTTTCACTATTCGTGCATTGATCTCATCACTCACACCCCCACCAGCACTTATGCAGCTACCCAGATACACGAACTTCTCAACTACGTCTATCTGCTCACCGTCCAGGGTGAGTACAGGATTAGAATCCTGCCAGTCTTGTAGAAGTACTTTGCACTTCGAAGGTGCAAAGCACATACCATACCTACGGACACTGATTGCCAACTGATTAAGTGCGGATTGCATGCCTTGGGCATTATCGCACAGTAAGACAATATCGTCCGCATACTCAAGGTCGAGAAGTCTTTCTCCAGGCAACAGATCCACACCACCATTACTTACATTCATCAGAGCTGTTTCCAGAATGTCATCGATGGCAAAGTTGAAGAGGAATGGTGAGATTGGGCAACCCTGCCTAACCCCACTGCTCGAATGGAACAATGGAGAGAGGTGGTTGTATGCCCTCACTCTGCCTGAGGTGTTTTTATATAGGGCTTTTAGGATGTTAATAAACTTCTCAGGCACACCCTTCTTCAATAGACAATCCCAGAGAACAGTCCTATCCAACGAATCGAAGGCAGCCCTGATGTCAAGAAACACTACGATTGTTGGCCTTTGAAAAGTATGGCGGTGTTCTAACATTTGGCGGAGGGTGAAGATATGATCAATACATCCTCGACCAGAACGAAACCCAGCCTGCTCCTCGCGAGTCAATCTTTCTCGGGTTTTGAACAACCTACGAAGAATGACGGAAGCCAATAGCTTGGACGCAATCGGAAGTAAACTTATCCCCCGATAGTTGTTACAAGAACGACGTGAACCCTTTTTAAAGATAGGGACAACTATCGACTCATTCCATGACGTTGGTACACTCTCTAGTTCCCAAACCTTTGTAAACAACGTCGTCAATTCCTTAGTCAAAAAGTCACCACCATCTTTAAAAAGAGCCGGAGGTAAGTCATCTGGGCCAGGTGATTTGTAACGCTTCAAGAGTTGGAGTTCCTTGCGGACTTCCTCATTTGGTGGATCAGTCGTCACCGGCCATGGAGGGCAGGACAGTCTGACCGATGTTGCCGGAGCAGCAGGCCAGTTGAACTGCCCTTCGAAAAATTCTGCCCATCGTCCAAGACGTCGATGGATGTTAGTGATTGGCATCCCATCATCCTCGCAGATTGTTTCACTCACACCAGACTTCTTGCTGCCAGTGGCTCGGATGAGTTGGAAGAGCTTCCGGTAGTTACCAGATGCAGCTGCTGCTTCCAGCTCATTAGCACGCATCGACCACCAGGCTTCTCGGTCCTTACGCAAGCTTTGCCCAATTTCCTTACGTAACATCCTTCGTTTATGGTCAAACTCACGGTCACCCGGAGTAGACCGACGGGCTTCAATGAGTTGTAAGGAACCAGAAGAAACCCAGTGCTTAAAAGCGGGACGTTTCGCAAACCCACAACTGACTGTTCCCGCCATTTTCATGGCGTCATGCAATTGCAACCAATGCTCATCTATACTTTTCGGTGGAGTGGTAGCTAGCCTAGAGGCTAGCTCGGTTCGATACTTACTTGCAACAGAAGTTGCAACCAGCTTGCTAACATCAATCCGTTGATGGCGTTCACTTCGTTGTCCACTGAAAAGTAAGGCAAGATTGGCGCAGACCAAGGCATGGTCAGAGTCCAGATAGGTACTCCAAAAGGAGCGGCAGTCTTTTACACAACCACGCCAGCGGTAGCTGATCGCGATGTGATCAATCTGAGTCCAGGCTTGAGATGCAGAGGGAGGACGCCAGGTGGCACATCGGCGATGACTGTGCCGAAAGTTAGTGCTAGCCAGAAACAGGTTGTGGTCTGTGCAAAGTTGCAGTAGACGGTCCCCGTTATCTGACCTGCGACCAACGAGTCCCCATCGGCCACCTAAACGACTCTCTTCTGTGCCTAGACGCCCGACCTGAGCATTCAAGTCTCCGGCTAGTACTACAATATCTGTCGAACGCACTTTCTGGAGAAGAACTGATAACTGGTGGTAAAACTCATCCTTGATTGCATCCGGGCTGCAATCTGTCGGGGCATAGGCGGAGATGACGAAAAGACATCGTTTCTCACGCCGATTTCTTCTCACTTTGATGGAACTTTCTAATCTAACAGCACATAACCGACTGTTAATGGGGATCCAATCGACTAGTGCTGCCTCAGCTCTAGCGCTTAGTGCGACACCAACGCCAGCAAGACCAGACGAAGATGCCACAGGGTCCCCGGATAAGCGCACGTAAAACAAGCTTTTCGAAGCGACAGATGGAGATCGAATTTGTAGTACTTCGCCAGAGTCTTGAATACGGGTCTCGGATAGACAACACACGTCGATATTAAGACTTTCCAAAGACATAGCCAGCCCTATCTGTTGTCCGACCTGCATAAATGTGCGAACGTTGAAGGCAGCCAGTTTGAATGGTGCACGTGGTTTCAGAAAATCTGCTTCAGTCCTCGTATTCGGTGGTAACATACAATTTTCAACCGGACAGTGACTCGAGAACGTTTAGATACAGTCGAATTTCCACCAAAGACGAGCCGCTGTATAAGTATAAAAGAGGGTGAATAATGTGGAAAATAATAATAATAATGATAATAATAACAATAATGACAATAATAGTAGTAATAATAATAACAGTATTAATAATGACAATAATTGTAATGATAATAATCTGAATCAATTGTTTGTTTTTCAAAGCGACAAAAGTAATTTCCATAGACATAAAGAGTTCATCATTTGTGTGTGGGCTGTGATACTGCCCGGGTGCCCAAACCGAAGCAGGTGGTTATCTTAGGGGGCCACTCCCCGAGCCTTTGACCTAAAGGTCTAACCCACAAGGCAGTGGAGCATCGTAAGGAGATGCAGTCCCATGGTAGCCGGTGACCAACGATTGGTTCATACGCCATTCGTTCCCGCAGGATACTGGAGCCCATGTGCACCATTGATTTGGAATCCGGTTAAAGCGCCGGACATTCGCTTTTCGTCCTCTCATTTTCGTAAACAACACCCCCGCCACGAGAAGGCAATGAGTAGGACTTCCCTGGCAGAGGCTGTATACGCGTGGCCGTGTGAGAGTATTTCGAGAGGGAGAGCGGACTCTCCCCACTCTCGGCCGTACCAGGGCATTCAGGGGGAAGTTGGGCGTCTACTGCTTCTTTCATCCGGTTCAGCAACACTCTGTTAAAGACTTTTCCTGGTATTGACAGTAGTGTAATGCCTCTGTAGTTTTCACATTTGCTCAGATCTCCTTTCTTTGGAATCTTGACGAGGTGTCCTTCTTTCCAGTCCATTGGCACTTGTTCCTCTTCCCAAATCTTTTTGAATAGATGGTAAAGCATGCTTGTGGTTGCTTCGATGTCTGATTTCAGTGCTTCAGCTGGTATGTTTTCTGGTCCTGCTTCTTCACCTTTCTTGATTTGTCTGACGGCCATTCTAATTTCTTTCGTCGTTGGTGGGTTGACATCTATAGGAAGATCTATGTGTGCTGCTTCGATGTCCGGTGGATTCATTGGAGCCGGCCTATTCAGGAGTTCCTCGAAGTATTCCACCCATCTGTTACGCTGTTGTTGAATTTCGGTGATTGGCTTGCCTTCTTTGTCTTTGACCGGTCTCTCTGGTTTACTGTATTTCCCTGCTGGTTTCTTCGTTGCATCGTGAAGCTGTTTCATATTTCCTTTTCTAGTAGCCTTTTCCGCCGTCGTTGCTAGTTCTCCCACGTATTTCTGTTTATCAGCTCTAATGCTCCTCTTCACTTGCTTGTTTGCTTCTATGTATTCAGCTTGTGCTTGGACTTTCTCTGCTCGTGTTCGGCTGTTGTTAATTGCTGTCTTCTTGTTCTTCCTTTCTTTGATCTTGTCCAGTGTTTCTATAGAGAGACATTCCTTATGATGATGTTTCTTTAGGCCCAGAAACTTTTGAAACGTTGAAGTTAATGCTTCCTTGATGCCTTTCCAGTTGTCCTCCATAGTAGTTTCTTCTTCCTTCAGTAGATCTTGTAAGGCTTGGAACCTGTTGTTGAGAGCTATCTTGAATTCATTGAGTCTGTCAGTATCTCGAAGGAACGCTGTATTGAACCTTTGTAGTGCTGTTTGTCCACTTGTCCAGTTCTTTTTAGCTTCAGTTTTAAATTGGCTACAACTAGGTGGTGGTCTGAAGCTACGTCAGCACCTCTCCTGGTTCTTACATCTTCCATTGTCCTTCGGAATTTTTTGTTGATGCAAATATGATCTATTTGGTTCTCTGTAGTGTGGTCCGGTGAGATCCATGTAGCCTTGTGTATACGCTTGTGTGGAAATATTGTGCCTCCTATGACTAATTTGTTGAATGCACACAGGTTTGCAAATCTTTCTCCATTTTCGTTTCTCTCTCCCATTCCATGTCGTCCCATGATATCTTCATATCCGGTGTTTTCTATTCCGACTTTGGCGTTTAGATCTCCCATCAGAATGGCGAGGTCCTTTCTTGGGTACTTCTCTATGATTGATTGCAGCCTATCGTAGAACTGATCTTTTTCGTCTTCACTGTTATCATTGGTGGGTGCATAACATTGAATAATATTCATTGTGATCCCCTCCTTCTTCGTTTTGAATGATGCTTTGATGATTCTGGATCCGTGAGATCCCCATCCTACAGGTGCATTTCGTGCTACTTTGGACAGCATTAGAGTAACTCCCTGAGTGTGCGGAGCATTTTACTCTTTGTCACCAGAGTATAGCAACATCTCTCCTGTATCTAGCCTTTGTTGTCCAGCTTGAGTCCAATTGGTTTCGCTGATTTCCTGTACTGTCGAATTGTATCTCCTCATTTCCGTTGCTATTTGACTGGTCTTTCTGGTCTCCCACATTGTCCGGAAGTTCCATGTACCTATAAAAGTTGTTGCTATGATTGCTAGAAGGGGCATTAGTTTCGTGGCTTCCGAAGGAACTCGGCTTTCACCATGAAGCGTCATAATTCTTCTAACTGAAGACCTTCTAACTCCCAGGGCAGAGTGTAAACGGTTTGAATCAATTTTTCTGGTTATTGCTTTTTTTAGCGGGATGGGGTCGCTAACCGCATGCCCAAACCTCGTCCTTTACCCAAGCTTGGGACCGGCAGTAACTCTAGAAGAGCTACAGGTAGAGTTTTGTGTGTTATTGCTTCCAATAATTCCACAGTAACATATACACTCCTGGATAATTCAGTTATCACTAAATGAACATTGTGTTTTGTTTAAACTGAGAAATTGTAGTTGTTAATATCTAATAGATTCATATTCAATCAATTTTAATATCAAATCATATCACCAAATAATAAACTGTACGGTTATTAGGCAAAGATAAATAGTAGCTAGCGGTGGAATCCAGGATGTGGGTTTCGTCCTATTTTGGGAATCGTCAGGTGGATGTACCTGAATCTTAGAGTTGATGTTAATGCTTTACAAAAAATACGTACTGAAATACATTTCATGACAGAAGTTACAAGAGAGCAAGAACACAAAAAACACCCCGACTAACCTTTTGATCAGAAGAACAAAGTTTTGTAGCTGATTGTTCAATAAACTCTGGTGTAATAATTGACTCTATATCTTCTTTCAATATGCTTAGTGTTTTCATCAACAGATTGGTATCTGTTAAAAACAATGAAATTAAAGGTGAATGGAGCTAATCAGAGTTTTATCTTCCAACTTTATATTACACGTTTAAGTTATTGACTGACATAAAAAAGAGAACACTTGATATTTCACACTAGTGGTACAGACATGGTCAATAATTGACCTGTCGACTAGAGATAGGATCCACTCCAGACAATGACTGAAGGGTTGTGCAAGACTATAGATCGACTGTGGTTAGACATTAACACCGTTGGATGCCTGCTCAGTTGTCTAGAGGTTAAATGTCTATGCGCGAAACGTCGACTCTTAAATTCAAATATTATAGTCGACATATCTCTCATTGGCTGAATTCCCAATATTATTATTATTATTAGCTGTCGCAATTTTATGGAAGTTTCCAGAAGCCTATGGTAGATTTTAACCGTATAAATACCATTCGGTTTTATATTTAAACAAATTTCAGAGTAAAAGATTATCCATATTACATCTTGATTTGTATGAGAATCAAAATTTATCTTATCATGAAAGTCGAGAAGGTCAGCATCGCATAAACGGATTACTATAATAGAACGAATATTAGAAAAGTTGAAACTTTTGAAACCATTCATTGGGTCATTATTATTATTATTATTATTATTATTATTATTATTATCTATATTTCTATTGTGTGACTAGTAGTTAACCATATTGTTGCATTTCTATATTCCTCTTATTGTAAGCTTCAAGTGAACCAAACAATTGTCGTTATAACTTACTATCCCTTAGTTATTGCTAATTAATTATGTACTGTTTGTTTCGTCCTCTACCACTTACGGTATGGTTTTATTCAGAGTATGATTTCTTACTTGACGCACTGAGTGGTCAGACGTTTCAGGTATATCAATGTTTAAGTTTTTATGCATGAATGAATCGAGTATAACAGAGAAATAGTCTGTTTCTTATCTACGTTTTCTGATCGGCTAATGGGTTAGAAGGAGCTGTTTTATTCAATGGAAAAACGGCATTATTTTATATAGTAAACCATTTTATTGTTTGGTTGTGAAAAACGAATCTTCAGAGGAAGATAATACTTCTGTATTTAGTATTACAAAGCTTTAACGGAAAAACATAATCTATGAAGCTGTTGTAGGAAATAAAACTGGTTATTTGTCACCTGACACACTGTGAAATGATTAGAACTGAATAATATGAATCAATGAATTATAAATGATACTGTATTAACTGTACACCTTTCGAGTTCTCTTTGTCGAGATATTCAGTTCTCAGTGGTTTGTACATTTAAATTATTTGCCAAGTTTTATGTGTATGTACTTGACCTACAGCTATACTGTTTGTGTGAAGGTTAGGGATAGTATTTAACTGATAAAAATGTAGTAGATTTGTTGTGCTTTGAACATCCACTTCATTGTCGAAAGTCATGTACAATATCAATACTAAACCATCGCTCCACAGTTTGTTAAATGTTAATAACTTATATATACATATATATAAAGTAACTTACAGAATGAATCATCTAGGCTTGTCATCAATTCTTGTTGAACTGTTTCACAAAGTCCAAGATACTTCAAAAAGTGTGTACCGAAAAATAAAACACAAATTACATATTTTCAATAACAGTTTAAAGATAATTTTGTCTAGACTGAGCGATTTCCACTAATCATTCATGCTTTTAACTGATAATCATTCATACATTGATGACTAACTGTGAGTGGAATTCCTGGATTTTCAATAAGAAGATGTGATCAGTGGAGTTTAATCATATCAGAAGTAATGCGGTGAGATTATAATTTATGGAGAACCAATCAGATTTAATATGACAGGTCTTGGATTTTGGAGCGAAATTCACTCACTTATTTGGCCAAATAGCGTTTTGACATTTTAGCTGATGTCAGTTCGTGATGAAAAATCGTAAATCTAATTCCTAACCCTAACCATCAACTGTGAATCATAATTCTCAATCTTCAAATTGCTTTATAAGCCCCATTTAGTCCCATTAGGTAGGTAGATACTTTCAAGATCACTTTGGCGTCGCTCAATGGTTTATACAAAATCAGTCTGTGATATAAATTACGTAACAGCATAATTTCTACTGATTAATATCTTGAACACACTAATAAGAAATATATTACTTGGCTACTTCCAATCTATCACATAAATTTCCAGCCACCAACTATAAATAATCAAAATCTACAAGAAATTATGTAACTAAAAATCATATTTAGTATACTGATTGTGATAAGCTACGTGAGAGAATTCTCGGAGTTCTAGTGAGTAGCGGTGACCAGCGGAGCTAATCCGTATCAGGTACAATGAAAGATGGTCGCGCAATTTCGCGGATTGATTGAGGTTAGACATTAACACCGTTGAATGCCGGCTCAGTGGTCTAGATGTTTAGTGTTTGTGCGGAAGAATGAAGGCTCTATGTCCGAATCCCGCGAGTGGGCTCATGGATGTGCATTGCTGAGGAGTCCCACAATAGGACGAAACGACCGTCTAGTGCTTCCAGGTTTTCAATGGTGGTTTAACATCATTTGGTTCATGATCTCAATCAAAAACTTGATAATTTTCACAACTCCATACTGACATTTAGTATAGTTATATAATTCTATATTTTATAATATCAAAAAATAAAAAAATTGTTTATTGATTAGCTATAGAGATTTACAATAAAATTTTTTTTTTCTTTGACCAAAAACTTACTTGACATGGTTCATAAACACTCATGTTTACAACAAAATCATGAACTATCCCTTCAAATGGTCCTTTGAAGAAACGTTTACACTGAATATATCGGTAAATGTAAAAAAATTAGGTTAATTTGTGTTAACACGTTTTAATAAGTCGTGAGATATTTCAGTTGTATATTATAAGATATCATAAGCATAAGGTTTGTTCCATTGATAGGTACTTATATATTTTAATAGTTGAATCCATAAGTCGATGTAGGCTAGACCGCTATTGAAAAGTTGGAAGCACTCAATGTCCGTTTCGTAATACTATGGGACTCTTCAGCAGTGTGCATTCATAGTCCCGCACCAAAAGGACTCGAAACCAGGACCTTAGACCTCGCGCGCAAACGCCTAACCTCTAGACCGCTGAGTGTGAGTACGATATTGTTATTGTCTAACTTCAACCAATTCACAATATTACGTGACTGTTCTCCATTGTGTTCAGTGAGTAACTGCCTCACATCAGGTGCGGGTGAACTCCAGTGCTTCCAAGTTTTCAATAGTGGTCTAACATTGATCAATTCATTATCTCAATCACGATTTTAATTAGTCTTAAATTTTACTGTAATAAAAATCACTTATCAGAGTTTTCATCTCTAGCCATGCTTGTCATTATCTACCGACAGACATCATATAAAGGTGGTTGTTGAATTTCTGACTGTCATATTGCAATATCATAACTTGTCAATTTGATCCAATGTCAAAATACATCTTTTTTTTATTGTGTTCTTCTAGTCTTTAAAGGTGATCGAATTCTATCGACTAGCACTAAAAACTAGGCTAACATAATATTGATTACAACATAGTGATTAACCAACATGAATCCATTTTCGAACGTCGTTTAACTTTGGTAATTGGGTATTCAGTTTGTGAGGATTGTAGATGAGAAATAGAATTTTAATGGGTCGGTAATAAAGAAATACACTAGAAACAGGAAGGATGTACAGAAACGCTAATTTTAAACAGTATAACCTTCTAAAATACATGAATCGTGACCAAAAACTTGAAGATTTCTAGTCTCACAAGTGAATACTTCAATTTGGTAACTTGATGTTTAACTAAGAAAGATGATTAAATAACCATGATTGAAAGTTCACATAGCAGTTTACTGGAAATTATTAATCATTATGTATTATTCCGCTTACTACAATGTTTAACATTGTAATTTAATTATATCGTGTATACCACAGGCTTTGTGGTATATGCTATTGATGTCAACAGATATAAGTAGTATGTATCATCAGTCGAAAGTGAAATTTCTGGCGACAGAAGGTTAAGAAGATCAAAGAGAAGAGAAAAGAAAGACAACTGATAGTGATTCATGTGGAAACGAAGAAACAATGACGTCTGAGACGATTGATTGATATTTTGCAAATGAAGTATATACTGTATGGTTCTCAGATTTTACTAACACATTCTGTAATTGTGTGTTCAAATATATTCGATTGTCCGTCACTGGTGTTATTGTTTATAACAACTTTACTGACGTAAGTTGTAACCAAGTAATTCACATAGACATGAATTATTTAGGTTGATGGACATTATTTAGTAAAGAACAAAATGAATAGTTGAAGTTTAGTCTTTTTAACTCTTAGAAAATTCGATGACACTATAATTTATGGACAACCTTAGAACGACGCTAAAGTAACCTTGAGTGTCCACCTAATAATTAGGACCAAATGTGGGTTATAAACCTGTGCGAGGAACTAGAATTAGGATATACAGTTGATGATTATGGTTCCGAATTAGATTTCAGGTTTTCATCACGAACTGACATCAAATATAATGCCAAAATTTTATTTAACCAAATGAATGAGTAAATTTCGCGCCGAAATCCGAGACCTGTTATCTTAAATCTGATTGGTTCGTCCACAAATTATAGTCTCGCGGAAAATTCAATCAAATAACTTGAACACAAAAAAGAAAACTGCAATATTTTAAATCATTATGATTTACATTGAAAATAGTAGTATAGATAAAGTATTAAACTTACTTGAGCACGAGGTTGTTTATATGGAAGGAAATTACACATTACAGATAATAGTTCAGCTGCAATCTTTCGTGTATAACTTTGCAAAAGTAACCATCGAATACCACGAACATTCATAACACATGTTTCACAAACTTGGAAGAAAAAAATATACAAGAGAATAAAGTACAGTATCATCTCTGAAACAATCTTAACAACCATTTGTAATTCTGATATGATGGGGATGATCTGTATTTAACGTTAATTCCATTTTAATTCAATGTGATGATTACTCAGTATAGTATTTGTTTCTGTTTCCCAGAGTAACATTTTATTCTGTATAATATACGATATACTTATCTTAAGTTAATATGAACTATACTCAGCATATTGAGATAGCAGAAAAGATTTGTAACTCAGGTGGATGATTTTGATGGAGTTTTATTCTCTGAGATGGATGGTTTGGCCGTGGAGATTTCATCTTTCTTCTGAACGACATTATTAGGCACACACTTCAGATAGATAATGATAACGTTCAGAATAACGATGAATGTTCCACGACCAAACCATCCAGCTCAGAGAACAAAACTCCATCATAATTAGCATATGATTTGTTATAACTCTAAGTATTTTTTTTCATATATGTGATTTCATCCTAATTACTAATAAAAAATGGGTGCATGAATCAATATATAAACGAATGTGGTTCCGACTAGAATTGTCGTGGTTGTGTTGTGATTCTGGCTGCTTGTGGAATATATTTCCCTCTTCCGAACTTGGACTTCTCTCTCTAGTAAGCTGGGCTGGGACGCGTTGAAATAGCTAGTTTGTCTTTTATCATGTCACAGAGTCTTCGTTCTGTTCTCAGTTTAGGTGAAGTCGTAATCACTTCAAACATGGCATATTCTTAGAAATATACAAAATGTTAATTAGAAGAAGGATGTCTTTATTTTTCAGTAAAGTTTTCGATTAATAGCCCATTGTTATAATATATGATTGATAGGTCAATTAAACTTGACTTTGATTAATCACTAATTTTGTGTTGAATATATGCTAGTTATAATGTAGTGAAGAAGACTTTTAGCTCAAGTGGATACGTTTGATGTTACTAACCTCATTGAACTAAACTGTTTAGTTATGAAGCTTTCATTGTCGTTCAGGACAACGTAAACATAGTTTACCCCTCACATAGAAGCAAACTTCGTAAATTAGAGAAATCAACAACGTAATTAGCTGGTTCTATTTTGTAGATATCAATAGTAATTATAATTTCGGTTTAGTTTATAAGCAAATTTATCCAAACCCACTGTCTATCATAACATATTACGTCGGGAAATAGAAGCAGATATGAAAAGGATGAATAACAACTGGAAAGAACTGGAAAGGATTGCCTAGGACAGGGTTTGATGGAAAGTGCTGGTAAGCGGCCTATGCTCATCCACAAGGAGTAACAGGAGTAAGTAAGTAAGTATTGTCTATCATAAGTTTCAATAAATCTAAATCTTAATAACTCACTTAATTGACATTCCAATTGTTCAAAATCATTTACAGAACTCTGAAATTCAAGTAAAACTTTAAATGAGCTTTGAATAATACCTGTTGATTTCCATGGTATTTCCATGGAGATTATTGATTAAATAAGCTTAAGTGATTATGATCAATATATTCATAGATAACTTTGTGAGTGATATTATAATTTTATTCCTCTTTCTAAGAGTGAATTTTTTCCTTAGGGAGTATTTCTAAAGTTAGGAATCAATGTTACACTTAAGAATTCAAATGATACAGAATAAGGATATTCGTAGTGTTGTGTTCTGCACTCTAATGCATCGAGTTTAAAGTATATAACGCTTGCAGAAATAATTCAGATATCCTGTAATAATACTCATTTATATATTCAATAGTACTGAATTCATCCAATATTTTTGTTGGTTGTTCCAGCCCCGAAATGCCCTGGTATGGCCGAGAGTATGGAGAGTCAACCCTCCCTCTCGAAATGCTCTCATATGGTCACGCGTATATTGCCTCTGGCAGGGAAGTCCTACTCACTGACTTCTCGCAGTGGGAAGGTTGTTTACGAAATTGGGAGGATGAAAAGCGAATGTCTGGCACTTTAACCAGGTTGCTGAACACAGAGAGTCCATCTAGGAGAGTTGGAAATCTCTGATTCCAAACCAATGGTGAACATGAGCTCCAGTATCCTGAAGGAAAAAATGGGACATGAACCAATCGTTCGTCACCGGCTACCATGAGACTGGATCGCCTGACGTTACTTCACTGTCTTGTAGATCAGACCTTTAGGTCAAATTCTTGGGGTGTGACCCCCCTAAGAAGACCACCTGTTTCGATTCGGGCACCCGATCAGTATCACAGCCCTCACACAATTCAAATGAGATTTGTGTGGCGCATATCTATTTAGTGCCTCCTTGTATCAATGTTTATGTGTTTAGAAAAATTTCCTACTCCTGATTGATGTGAACCTACTATTTAACCAAAAAGTTCTTCCAATCACTGAATGAATACATAACTTTCAAATAGCTTATCTAATAATTCATATTTCTAACTCATTACATTTATATATAGTTCATAACAATCATACGATACTGTCAACAGCTAACCGTAGATCTCAGAATTTATAATCAAGCACCAAAAACTACATACATTTTCATTGAAGAGAATAATATCATTGTTATACATAACAATACATACCTCAATTGATTCTCCATAAATCGTATTCTTCAAACCTAAGTAATTATTATTGAATGGTACAAAAAAAAACACAAAAAAAACGCAAAATATTAACCATCTTACCAAGTAGAGATATTAGGAGAAAGATTTTAGCGAACATTATCTCAGCAGTATGTTTACTCAGAAACTCCAAGTATCTATCTATCTATAATAGCTCAACTGGTAATCACAAACAGTTGTTTAAATCTTTTTATCTTAAATAAATAAACTGAACTAATCATTTAGTTGCATAGAACACATAATACTTGAAATAATAGTAATAATAATATTAGTAGTAATAATGATAATAATACTAATAATAGTAATAACGATTGAAGTACTTTGATCTAAGAACTTCTGTTGTTACCTATTTTGAACAGTTTCAAAATCAAAATTATTTAAGCCTTCTCTTTGTGTATCAAAGTTCATATTTACATGATTATATGATAGATATTCTGTGGTATTCTTTTATAAAATTATTGAATAACTATGATTTATGTCACTTTATGGTGAATTAAACAAACTGGTCAATATCAAAAGGGGTTTTTGTGGATATTCTAGTTGTTCTAATAGTTGAGATAATGAGTCAATTGAAGCTAGACTAACATGGAAAACCTGGAAGCACTGGATGGCCGTTTCGTCCTGTTGTGGGACTCCTCAGCAGTGCGCATCCACAATCCTGCCTCGCGAGATACGAACTCAGGACCCATCAGTCTCGCACGTGAGCGCTTAACCACTAGAAAGTTTGAGAATTTTTAATGTGTTAAACTTGAATAAAAGGTATGAAAAGAGAAAAAATGTCAAATCATATCTTGATTAAAGTTAATTAACATAAAGACATAAAGCAAGGTATTGTGTCAGTTAATACTTGCTAGCATGGAATAACTGTAAAGTTTTAACGTTTTAATATTAAAGAAAACGATGGAGATTAGATGGTGATTGGAGGTAGTCAACAGGAAACCCTGGACTCGGGTTTCGTGCTACTTGGAACTCGTCAGCAAGGTGTACCTGTAATCTTGAGGGAACTGGTGCTCCCTGGCGGATTCGATCTCGTGTCACGCAGCTTCACCGTCAGAGGAGTTACCAGTGAACTATCCAAGCCGCGACCGAACTCCTGTAGGACTGATGTGTAATCACAATTGAATGAAGACAACGATGGAATTATGGCACAATTTCGTGGATTGGTTGAAGTTAGGCATTAACACCGTTGGATGCTGGCTCAGTGGTTTAGAGGTTAAACGCTCGCGGGTACTGGGTTCGAATCTGGCGAGGCGGGATCGTGGATGCGCACTTCTGAGGAGTCCTACAATAGGACGAAACGGCCTTCCAGTGCTTCCAGGTTTTCCATGTTAGTCTAGCTTCAATTGACTCATGATCTCAACTATTGAAATTGGTCAATGTTCAATATATATTACCCTAATTAAGTTATTCAGTAGTTTATTCATGTTTACTTATTAATATATGAATTGAAATGATACTAGAGATTTTTGAGAATGAGAATTAAGAAAGTATAATCAAATAGTCGATTTAATAAAGTTTGGTAACGAAATAAGAAGATGAGGGTTGTCATAATTACGTATCATATTTGGGCAATACATTTAGAATATCAGTATAAGGGTTGTGGAGATTGTTAAGTTTTTTCTCGGAGTTCTAGTGAGAAGCCGTGACCAGTGGAGCTAATCCGTGTCGGGTAGAGACAGGTATCTGCCTCAGTACAATGGAAGTTGGTCGCGCAATTTCGTGGATTGGTTGATGTTAGACACTAACACCATTGGATGCTGGCTCAGTGGTCTAGTTGGTTATGCGCCTGGCGCGAGACCGATAGGTCCTGGGTTCGAATCTCGCGGGGGCGGGATCCTGGATGCGCACTGCTGAGGAGTCCCGTACTAGGACGAAACGGCCGTCCAGTGCTTCCAGGTTTCCAACGGTGGTCTAACATCAATTGATTCATGGTCTCAATCAAAAACATTTAGAATAGTTGGATCACAATAAAAAGAAGAATATATTTGTATGCCATAGTAACTAATTGATAGATAATACGTTCAATGATTCAAATCCGTTATCTTATCTGAATATGTTAAACAATTGACTGGAACATTTTTTAAAATAACACAATTCAATTACATATACATTCCTCGTTTATTTATTTTGTTTACTTATCTTCATTTAATGCAGGCTGTAGCATTTTGATTCATTTCATACATAAAAATGATTTGTTTTCTTAATATACACAGACCGTAGTCAATATTAAGTTGAATGAAAAAATTTTTTCTCATATCACTTGCGTATAAACACATTCTGTTATCTTAACACGTTTTGGTTCCATAACACATACAAAACAATTTGTCATAACCTTGAATTTACCTTATAATCCTTAAGTCATTCTATGGCCTAGGATAACATGACAATTTCTTCCCCTTCATTATTTTCAAATGAACTTTTATTTTATTTGTTTGACCCATTCTGATAATAAATACCTATCTATAAAGAAATCCTTCACGTCGATTGGATGACTTATTCAGTGTACAGTAAACCGAAGAATCATGTACCTATTTATATTCGATAATTTTTGTTGTTTGATTATATTTTCCTTGAAAAAGCTTGGACTAGATTGCCAGGTGAAACGTTGGATTTACTTAAAATTCATTCGCTGAGATTTTACAAATATATTCTTCCTCTTTAATGTCTCACATTAACTCGGCGCCCAAATTTTTGTGAAACTATTCGTTCAAATTTAAACGAAAGTTCTTATTTATAGTTGGATCACATATAGTATACTTGTTAAGACATTGTTATATGGAAAATAAAAGGTCAACTAGACAGTCAGTCAGTCAGTAACAACGTAGAACTTCGTACGTACGTACATCAGTTCGAGTTGCCACACCACATTAGCACAGAGATGCAGTTGTCGATTCAAATCCCGTAGTGGTAGAGGTAATAAGAGTATAAGCAGTAATCGGGAAGATTAGGGTTTGGAGATGTTATTTAAAGAGTATAATCCAGTGAAAGAAATTTGGAAAGAGGAAAAAAAGGGACATGAAGAATTCAGAAGATTAGAATTTGGGAGAACACAGAGAGTGGATGCACCTGCGCCATTGCAAACGATTTTGAGCCATGTCATTCAGGGTCTCTAACCATCGGTTGCTATCATCTCGCGGTCCCCAACCAGGTAGTCTACACCTACCAACATGACTCAGTCCACTTGTCAGTGACTTCATGGACTTGTGCCATGTTTTGGTTTGGCCGCCCCTAGCTTTCTTCCAACCTACTCCTATACCACTGAACATAGCACGTCGAGGCAGTCGGTCGTTGGGCATACGTAACACGTGTCCCAGCCATCTCAACTGATGAAGTTTCACTACTTCATCAATTGATTTGCCATCCTTACCTAGTACCCGTTTCCTAACAACTGTGTTACTTACTCGATGGTCCCATGATATACGAGCAATGTTTCGAAGACACCTATGATCAAATACTAGTAACCTACGGATATCCTCTACTCTTACCGGCCATGTTTCACTGCCATAAAGTAGGACGGAACGAACTGCTGCGCAGTAAACACGTCCTTTGGTTGATAGACGGATATCTCGCCTACGCCATAAATGACGCAAGTTGGCAAAAGCTAGTCGAGCCTTCTGTATCCGTGCTGAGATTTCGTCACACACTAAACCACAAGGGCTGATGAGACTTCCAAGATAAGTGAAGCGGTCGACACACTCAACTACTTCACTCCCTATCACTAGTTCGGGTGTCGATGTAACCCAATCCTGAAGCAACATTTTGCATTTCGAGGGAGAGAATCGCATCCCGAACATGCTTGCATTGTTGCTTAGAGTGGCCAGAAGACTCTGCATTTTGTCAGTGTCTTCACCAAATAAAACTATGTCATCAGCATATTCTAAGTCAACAAGTGAACCTCCTGGTAGAAGTTCAACCCCTGTAAATTTAGATGAGGAGAGTGTTATCTCTAAAAGTACGTCGACCACAAAGTTGAACAAGAATGGGGAGAGTGGACAGCCCTGACGAACACCACTTGAGGTAATCAATTCTGATGACAGTTCGCCATAAGCTCTCACTCGACCAGTTGTGTTCGAGTAGAGAGCCTTTATAAGGTTAATGTACTTCTTTGGTACTCCTTTCAGTGACAAACACTGCCATAGAACCTCACGATCAATCGAGTCGAATGCCGCCTTAAGGTCGAGAAATACTACCATTGTGGGGCGTCTGAATGTGTGTCTGTGTTCTAGAACCTGACGTAGTGTGAATATCTGATCTATACAACCACGTCCAGGTCGAAAACCAGCCTGGTTTTCTCTAGTCTGCTCTTCACGAGCTTTAGTTAGGCGTCGAAGTATTATTGAAGCTAATATTTTAGACACTATATTAGTCAAACTGATTCCTCTGTGATTGTCACAAGAGGACTTTTGTCCTTTCTTAAAAACTGGCACAATCAGTGATTGAGACCAGTCAGATGGGATTACGTCCAGTTCCCAAATTCTACCTAAGACCTCAGTTAATCTCATTGCTAATACTGGACCACCATCCTTAAAAATCTCAGGAGTAAACCTGTCAGGGCCTGCTGCTCTCCCTCGTTTCAGATTTCCTATGGCTTTTTCAACTTCGTAAAGGGACGGAGGACCTACATTAACTTGCCATTCAGGTTGACTGGAGATCGTGGGAAACCGAAGTGTGGCTGAAGGCCAGTTGAACTGATCCCTAAAGTGTTCTGCCCATCGATCCAATCTCCTGGATTGAGAATGAATAATATGTCCATCTTTCTCTGAGATTGTTTCGCTAACGGTCGGGTTCCTAATTCCGGTTTCCTTAACGAGTCTGAACAATTGTCTGCTATTACCTATTGCCGCTGCCTTTTCCATCTCTCTTGCTTTCGCTACCCACCACTGTTCGCGATCATTGCGTAGACTTCTTGTCAGCTTGCGCTTAAGCTGACTCCGCTCTTCATTATGTTCAGAGCCAGGTGGAATGTGTTTCCGAGCATCTATCAGTGAGATAGATG